CAATGGTTCAGCAAATTTCATTCAGGTGACTTTAGCCTTAAAAACTGTGATGGCAGGAGCCAATATGTTGGAATTAATATTGATGCTCTGAAAACCCAAGGCAATGCACTCATGAAATGGCCCTGAAATTGCATGTATCTCATGAAACAATATGTAAACATCTAAGGAATAAGGAAAAATTCTATAAAGAAGGTGTTTGGGTGCCTCACAAACTCTCCGATGATCATTGTTTCCAATGTGTAAATGTTACTTCATCTCTTCTGGCACATGAACCATATTTAGACAGAATTGTCACCGGTGATGAAAAATGGATTCTCTATGTGAATATTAAATGCCAAAAACAATGGCTCAGTCCTAGACAAAAACACTTCCAACCCCAAAACCTGGACTCTATCCACAGAAAGTGATGCTTTGCAGTTGGTGGGACATCAAACGAGTAATTCATTTCGAACTCCTCAATCCACAGCAAACTGTCAATGCAGAGATTTATAGTCAGCAACTGGGACATTTAAATCAAGCCCTTCATAAGAAATGTCCCTTCACTTGTCAATTGGAAAGGTGTTCTTCTTCTTCACGACAATGCACGTCCAAATGTGGCACATTTGATGCAACACAATATTATAGAGTTGGGTTGGAAAGTTCTCCCCCCACCTACCATATTCTCCAGATATGGCACCATCAGATTACCATCTTTTTTGTTCACTGCATCGCCATCTTAATGGGAAAACATATGCAAATGTGGAAGGTGTTAAAGAGGACATCGACATGTTCTTTGCTTTAAAGCCAAGTGATTTTTTTTAGTCATGCCATTAATAACCTGACTGTAAGATGGAAGAGCATCATCTATAAGAATGGAGACTATTTCATTGAATAAATGTTTTGTTTTGATATATAAGTTGTTCTGGTTTCTTATTTTGTGATTTTCTACATTTGATACTATGGGATTTCTTAGTTTTGTGAATATTTATGTTTTATGTATATTCAAGCTTTTAGTTAAAAATTTTCATTAGCTAAAAAATAATTTTTCCTACAAATCAATGACAGCAGTTTAGCTTAGTAAAGTATCAGGTCTGTTTACCTTTAATATAAATTGTGCCTAAAGATGTATTTTGAATTATTATTACATAATTGGAAAAAAATTAATTGAAAACAAAATTACATTTTTTAACATTCAGTTCTATTATTAAAAGGTAAAATCACAAATGACGATGTAATATTTTGTCACAAAAGCATCTGTTTCTTCAGACCTAAGACTTGCTGTTTCTTTTTTTACTTCCTTCCTTCTTTTTACTTTCAATCTGTCTGACAAATACAGATTAAATTAAAATCTGCATAAAAATTCTGAAATTTTGAAATATCTTTAGAATGTTTTAATTACGACCAAAAGCTATTTAGCATGATAAGGTAAATTGTAATGAATCAGGATGTAAAGAAATTTGCTTTGATTTGGGCTTAAACTATTGGCTTAAGCTGTTGTTCTGAGGCCAGTGTTCCACCAGTTGAATTACTAGAACCCAAAGGGTCAAGAAGCTAACCTCCTTCCTGACCATTTCAATGTACAATAGCGTGCCAAGACAAAAATTGAATTTATTTCTGAGACTTAACATTCTGTAATGTAGCTGTACAGATAACACATGGTTCCTCATTGTTTTAGCTTTCACTAAGTTTAACTAATGTGGTTGCAATAAGCATTTATGTTCAAATATGAACTTAAAGTATTTGTTTTTCAATTTACTTACGAATGTTTAACACTTTTCACTCATTGCTAAAGAGTAAACTTTCACCATTTTGATCTTAATATTTTTACCTTTTATTTTAAAATTCTTTCATTTTGTTTTTATCTACCAATTAGATGGTTCTGAATCACCAGCATTTACAGAATCTGATGCAAGCAAAGAAAGCAAAACATTGAAGGTTGATAATAAAACATCTGGGGAAGGAGACATAAGGAATAAAGAATCTGTTGGTGTCAGTACATTAACAAATAAAAAGAAGGTAAGCAATAAAGAAAGTGGAGAAAGATTCTGTTTACTAATTTTAAAGGAGTCTGAGCCTGATGAAATGATTTTAGACAAGTAGTAGGACACTGGTGCATCATAATTGTAATGATTTTTTTCATTCAGCTGGCTGTATGTGCTCCTGATTGGTTACTTTACCTTTAGTTCAAAATTATGGATGACAATGTGCAGATGGTTCTTTGTACTTTGCAAGAAAATTCTGAAACAGACTTTTTTGATGACAGTTTAGTTAATGTGCTTGATATAAGTGTATTAGCCTTAATTTACTAATATAAGCTAGATTACTGGGTCTTAAAATATTTTTATGTAAAGTTGTGTATAAACTAGTCATCTTTAAGCACATCTACTTATATGGTGATTTGCTCTGTGTTATGATACTTCTCACCACAATTGTTTGGAATTAGAGTCAATATAAAACAGCTTTTTCAGTATGGATAGGAAGAGAGGAAAGCAGGGGTATTCTCAATGATAAGCAACACTACAGAGAAAAGTAGGAGAGAGCTGAGCACCCCTTCCCATAGGGTAGTCTTGAGGGTCTTCCTGCAGGAATTTATTCTTTTATTTTTAAAAGTTCTTCAGAATGATTGTGGCACATTTGTTTGTTAATTTACCTATATTTCATGAACATCTGTTTAGTGAGATTTTTTTTAGAATTTTTCTTTTTACAAAATATTTATATTTATATACATATATACATATATATATATATATATATATATATATATACCAGAACCATGCTTCATGAACCAAGTAAACAAAAAGGACAAAAATGTAAATTTAATTCAGTTCTGAGATTATTTTCTATGAATTATACACATTAACCCAAACAATTCAGTTGTTATCTTATGTCTTTTCTGGTTTGTCACTACACAATGTGAAATATGTACTTAAGTAACATGTGTAAATGGATTTGTGTAGGGCTACTGTATTGAATGAAGAATATTAGTTAAATTTCCCATTGATGTGATAGCATTTCAATATGTTCCTGAAATGTGCCTATTGTAGTTCATTGACAGTTTGATGCTTACTAATACATAAACATATGGTTTGTAATTTAGTCCCCTTAAAAGAGAGAGAGGCAGTGGTGGTGGAAAAACTACATATGAGCATAAAGTACATATAGAAGCATTAAATTTGTATATTTGTTATAATTGAAATTCCAAGTTATACTTTTGGACCATTTTGGGGCCTATTATGATAGATACAAAGTGGAACTGAAATGTAGAAACATTAGTAGACAATGAGAAATAGTACTGTCCAGAAAACAATAGTGCCTTTGGCACCCCTACATTAAAAAATCTGGTTTCTGAAGCCTATGGCAAATGTCTGTTGGTTGAGAGTAGATTGTGACAGATCATTTATAGACAGTAATTTTGTCATCTGCCAATGAATAGTCTGATTTACAAAATGTTTAGTTTTTAAGGCCTGACTTACATTAAGAAGCAACAAAATTAGCAGTTATTTCTTGCAATTTCTCCATGACAGATAATGTTTTACTTTTTATAGCTCTTCTTATTCTGTAGGATGTTCAATATTTGTTGGGTAATAATGCTAATTCATTAAGTTTGAAAGTTGTATTTTACTTCTCAGAATTTTGTTTTAATTTACCAGAAGTTAGGTAATTTAGGAATCATTTTTTCTTTGAATTTATGGAATTGTTTTCTCCTTTGCTGTAAAGTATCAAAAACTATGTTGTTCAAGAGAGTCATTGTGTGCTCTGTTGTAATATGCTAGCATTGCTTGGTAGTTCAAGGACATATATTATATGGTTTGTTGTAACATGCTAGGTAGTTCAAGGATATATTGTATGCCTTGTTATAACATACTAAGTTGTTCAAAGAGCTATTGTATGGTTTATTGTTGCATGCCAGAAGTAGATAGTTCAAGGAGCTATTGTATGATTTGTTGTAACATGCCTGAAGTTGATAGTTCAAGGAGCTGTTGTATAGTTTGTTATAAAATGCCTGAAGTAGATAATTGCAGGAACTATTGTATGATTTGTTGTAACATGCCTGAAGTAGATAGTTCAAGGAGCTATTGTATGGTTTGTTATAAAATGTCCGAAGTAGATAATTGAAGGAACAATTGTATGGTTTGTTGTAACATGCCAGAAGTAGATAGTTCAAGGAACAATTGTATGGTTTGTTGTAACATGCCTGAAGTAGATAGTTCAAGGAGCTATTGTAAATTTTTTTCTAACATGTTAGAAATTAGGCCACCTTCGTGGCTCAGTGGCAAGTCTGAGGGCTTAAAATACTAAATATTGGGCATAGCTCAGATAGCCATTTGTGTAGCTTTGTGGTTAATAACAAAAAAAAATAAAAATAAAAAAAAAGCTGGAAATTAGATAGTTTAGAGTCATTATATGCTTTGTTTAACCCGTTACTTGCCGTGGCCATTTTGTCCTATTGTGAGGGCAATATCACATTTGTGAATTGAAAAAAATGATAGAGAACTTATCTTTTATTGGATTTCAATTATTTGTACAAAATTGTATTATTTAATGTAGTTTAAAGAGGAATTTAATGTAAAATTCCTAAAATACGTTTTAGACTGTAAATAAGCACCCACTAAGAAGAAAGTTTTTTCAACATTTTTTAAAGATATTTCCTTCCACTTCAGCACTGGTCCTGCCATCTATGATTGGTATCTAAACCTTCTTCTAGTCTGTTTTTTTTATAAAACTGAATCTGGGCATGTTAAACCTCAGTTGTAAAACTTTTAGCCAATCCTAGTCAAAGGTGTCAATTTCAGTACCATGTTATTCCAATCGCTGTATCTCACAATTTGACAAATCATAGGATGATAAGGAAAGCACGTGACGAAACGTTGTTCTCTGGATTTTACAATATGAATGTGGGTGGTGCTTATTATAGTAACTGCCATTTTATGTAGAGGTTGTATTTAGTACTGGCCAATAGTGCTTTTCTATAAGCGTTAGAAAAGTTGCTTCTGGAAAAAACTGCATGGGATGTATGTGACTTTTATTATTTTTATATAGCACCTTAAGTCATGCTGCATCGTATATCTATTTATATTAATCATTATATTGAAAAATTAACTCAAAATAGATATATTTTTTAGGAAAGAAGTTGATCCATGATTGTTAGGGTTAAGAGCTATCGAGTGGCAAGTGCAAAGTCTTTACATGAATTAGACTTAGGGCTTTGAACTGAAAGAGTTTGTGATTTTTTATATTCTTTTGAATTTAAATTTGTAGTTTTAAGTTCAATAATTTAGCATAATTGTATATTTAGTTCATAATAATAATAATATGATTCAGTTTGTAGAATGATAAACTTGTGTGATTTGTATGTAATACTACTAGTACCAGTACCACATAAGAATTTTATATTTTCCCTTCTTACAATCTTTGCTTTGTAGTGAGACCCACACTTCTGTTGTTATTGCGTTAGAATTAAAACAGTCTAACTGATATATATATATATAGTTTATTCTGATTATTTTGCAAATGATTCAAACTCAGTGTACAAGTGACAACAATAAAACCCATATGTTGGTTGTGAAACAGGCTAAATACATTCATCTCAATAATACAGGGAAGCTATGACATTCTCACTGTTGGGGTCTCAATACACTGAAGAGCTAAAGTTTCGAATTCCAACATAAATCTTGCCTATAATGAGAAGAATGTGACCAGGACTAATCTTTTAAGTGTTGTAAAGTAATTTTCTTTGTAATTTATGGTGTCTGTATCATTTGGTAATCTCTTCTAACAGGATGTATCAAGTAACAAGGGGTCAGGCTCAGGCGGTGTTTATTGAAACCACCTGTACTTTAAACTGTTACATACATTCGCTAGTAGTGGCAATTAGTTTTTTCTCTATAGTGAAACAACATACACGAACATATGTTGAAATAAACTTGTTTGAAAGTTCAAAGAAATGATATTCAAGTACCGAAAAGCTTTCTTACTATCATATCTACAGTAATGTTCAAATGCGCTCATGCTGGACTGAACGAGAATGACCCGCAACAGGGGTGAGATAATTTACGGAAAACGTACAAAGTTCACGCTGCTGACCCCATGGTTTATTCGGCACAATAAACAAAAGTACGGCTGCAATGAAACATAAACATAAACTTGAAATAAAAATATATTTATGAAAGAAAATTAAAATGTTTTTTATGTACATATATAAACATGAAATCTTAGTTAAAAACAAAAATACTCATTTATTGTTTAGGTTTATTTACAAACCTTATTTTTGGGTCTTACTTGAAACATAAAGAGAGTACGTGATTATTAAAAAATTAAAAAATACATAAAATTTAGCATTTTATGGACGATACAAATTTTTTAGGATTGCAAAATAATGTACTAAAACATAAAAAACGTAATACAGTTACAAATCTGGAACAAATATAAAATAT